AAACGACTTGTAAAATTTTGTATTGTATTATATATTACAGGATATACAAATCGATCCCATGGGGGTTTTATCAAAATTGGTTCAGAAGGTTAGTTTTAAAATAAAAATAACTGGTTTCGCTACAATCGAAATTGGTTTTCTTTAATTATTGCATCGATCTTTGGATCGCTCTAATATATAAATATCGATCTTAAAATTGAAGATCTTGATAGTCGATTTTTGATCCAAAATATTAAAATATTTCAATGCACTTTTGAACGGTATTTTATTTAAGTCTCCTACGATCTAGAAGATTATGAAATTTTATCTTCTGAAACACAGTGACTGTGTTTCGGTTTGAACGGAGGGATATGGCGTGAATTTACTGGGTACGGAGAAATAACACCTGAGCCCTCAGGAATGGCAACGCATGGGGGGTATCATGGGCGAAACAGTATACTCTGTTATGTCCATGGCACTGCTCATGTCTACAGGCGACGGTTACCACTTTCCATCAGGTGGGCCGTCAGCTTGATTGTCATTCTAAGTTGTATAAAAAAATGATAGATAGATAGATACTCTTTATTGTTTCCTCCATAAGATTACAATAGTAAACTTATTATAGATATAAACAATTACAAGAAATAATCACAATGAGAGAACAATGGGCGACTTTATCGCTAAAAGCGATCTCTTGCAGGCAACCATTGGATGGAGAGGAGTAATAATAATAATATTATGTATTATTATTTTCGTACTTGTCCAAGGATTCATCTATTTATTTCATATCTGCGGTAAAGTGTAACATGCTTGCGCAATTTTACGCTTTCACTCTCCATCGACGTAAGCGTACGTAAGCATTGGCATTTGAGTTTTTTTTTCTTTTTATTAAAGACGTTTTTTAGCGCACACTTTTTGCACTATGGTACTAGTGCGAACAATATTCGCTTGTTGTAGATAATTTTACTGAATTAGATGTTATTTTGCGGACTTCCACTATAAATATCACTGGTTGTTTGATAAGAATTATTTTTTGCAAAATGTGCGTGGACGAAATGGCTGTCGGAGATTGATGACTAGTATGGATGGTTGTAGAACTTCTGCTAATAATAATAGTGGTCAATCTTCGAGTGTTGGCAGTCGCACGCATACTAACGGAAGCGGAATTAAACAAAATAATTTTGATTAACTAACCAACGTTTTTTATGAATTAACATTTTTTTATTCACGACATTTGACAAAGATATTTTTTTACACAATTTAGAATGGCAAACAACCTGACGGTCCACGTGATGGAAAGTGGTAACCGTCGCCTATAGACATGAGCAGTACCATGGACATAACAGAGTATACTGTTTCGCCCATGATACCCCCCATGCGTTGCCATTCCTAAGGACTCAGATGTTATTCCTCTGTACCCAGTAAATTCACGCCATATCCCACCCTTCAAACCGAAACACAGCCATGCAACAACTGCTTCACGGTTGAAACACGAATGGGACAAAGGTACCCAAGCAATCGACTTTTGTACAAAGTCTCCCTCTGGTGAAATATTAAAAAAATATTATTTCAGTTCCGCGGACACATAAATGCAGTACAAGTTAGAATTTTATTTTTGAAGTAAGTCGAAAACCAACGCTCCATTATCATAAAATGGAATCAATTTGAGCATCTTTCAAATCTGATTTTTAGTCGTTCGTTTTCGTTAGCAGCTCGTGTTGCAAAATCGTGCTCAACTTAAACTGTATTGCTATGACAGAAAGACAAACATGACGAAATAAGGGCTCCAGTTTAAAATAACAACAATTATGAATGGTAAACAATGTTTAAGCCGATTAGGTTGTTGCACTTTCAAGGCTTTGTACCGGTAGAGAAATAAGGCAATTATAATAATAAAGAATTTATTATTATATTAATTAACACATAGCATTATGAAAAGTAAATAAATAAATATTTATTTATTTAAACTTGAATGCGCAGTGAAACTTTATACATATGAAGTACATACAGAGTAAGTAAATATTAGTATAAAGGTCGTGTGATCCTTAGCATAGCTTGTGGTGGCGTAAAATAGGCCATCCCTTCCTTTCCCGTGGGTGTCGTAAGGGGCGACTAAGGGAAATCGAAGTTTGAGCTCGAGTTCCCTCTACACTATTTATGTATATATTAATAGTTGTAGCACTTCAGCTGCCCGCTAACAACATGCTTTCTAACTGCATCGGGTTGACTGGAAGAGATCTCTGTCAGAGATAAGTCCACCCTTGCTCACAATATTTATAAATGCATTAACAATGTAATTTACAAGTGCAATAAAGAATATATATACGTATTATTGTCGTACGGCGACAATATAGTCGGACATGGGGAGAAAGGGATTGTTAGCAATGGAGTTTGACAGCCCCATTGCTAGCAATATGGCCTATTAAGTCGACCTCCACGTGGTTCCCCCCGGAAACCATCGTGAACATTTCTTGTTGAATTCGTCACGATGGGCTAACTGACTTGCTTCATCCTCACCTATCATCCTTCACTGGTGCCTCGCCGGTGTATACCGATAGCGCGGGTGGGGTATACTATTCCATTATCACCCATTAAAAAAATATATAGTTGGACATCGCTTGACTACAGTTTGGGAGTTCCAAGATCAAGTGCTAAATTTAAGCAATAAATTTTTCAAATTAATTTTTTTTTATACAACTTAGAATGGCAAACAAGCTGACGGCCCACCTGATGGAAAGTGGTAACCGTCGCCTATAGACATGAGCAGTACCATGGACATAACAGAGTATACTGTTTCGCCCATGATACTCCCATGCGTTGCCATTCCCTGAGGACTCAGGTGTTATTCCTCCGTATCCAGTAAATTCACGTCATATCCCACCCTTCAAACCGAAACACAGCCATGCAAACACAACTGCTTCACGGTTGAAACACGAGTGGGACAGAGGTGACCAAGCAATCGACTTTTGTACAAAGTCTCCCTCTGGTGAATTTCAAATGGATCACTTGAGAATGTTATCTGAGTGTAGGCCGTAAGCTCGTTTGCCATTCATTAATTTACGTTTGTTTTTTTGTTGCATAAAAAAAGTTACTCGGCAATTTAAATTGACAACGCGTCCGCAAGATTCGAACAACGTTTTCGGTGAATAACCACCGGGCGAGGTCTATTAATTTATCGATTTTATGTTTAAACCACAACAATAAACATACCGCATACCACGTTCGTCGGGGCCGATGGATCCAGTCAAGGTTGATCGTGGCCAGAATGGCGACAAGTGGTCAAACAATGTGACGATTTACATGCGGCCATCGCGCCGCTGCACCGCCCTTGGCGCGTAACGTTTATGACCAGTTTTAACTGAACTTAATGAGCAAACAAACAAACGAATAATCGACCCAAACACAACACAGACTATATCCAAGAAACATCGTCTTCCTGTCCTTATCTCAATTATTGCAATCGGCGTATTTTTTTTTTGATGGTTGAAAATGGTATGGTAACCCCGCCTGCGCTAACGGGATACGCTGGTGGAGCACCAGCACCGCCCATGCGTTGTCATTCCTGAGGACTCGGGTGTTATTCCTCCTAGTAAATTCACGCCATATCCCACCCTTCGATTGCTCGGGTACCTCTGTCCCATTCGTGTTTTAACCGTGAAGCAGTTGTGTTTGCATGGCTGCGTTTCGGTTTGAAGGGTGGGATATGGCAGTGAATTTACCATACAGGGTACAGAAAAATAACATCTGTGTCCTCAGGAATGGCAACGCATGGGGCATGATGGAAAGTGGTAACCGTCGCCTAGACATGAGCAGTACAAAAATACATAACAGAGTAGGAACTCGAATGGGACAGAGGTGCCTAAGCAAACGACTTTTGTACAAAGTCTCCCTCTGGTTTTTGGGATCCTAGTTTTTTACCTGGTATTTCTTAAGCGTGGATATCGAATTTAAAACGAATGAAACAAACCACTTGTAGATGACGTATCGATGTAAAACATATACCAACATACGCTCAAAGGTTGATAGAAACAAATCCCTTTTATGGGATAAATCCGCCATAGTATTAATTCTTTCTTAACAACTCTTTATTCTATAATTTAAGACTTTACTGTACAAATAAAGTGTTACAAACAAACAATCACCAGGTTTTAAGTTAAACTTTCAGGAATATGACTGTGGGAACTGCATCCAATTCGGTACAGTAGTGTCTGCGCTATCGAAACGAACATACATACAGTCAGACAAAATTCTATTGGTTCTATTTCTTTTTTAATGGGTGAAAATGGAATGGTAATCCCGCCCGCGCTATTAGTATACACCGGCGGGGCACCAGTGTAAGATGATAGGTGAGAATGAATGCAGGTCAGTTAGCCCACCATGATGAATTCGACAAGATTGGTTTCCAGGAGGAACCGCGTGGAGGTTCAACCTGAGAGCATATATTGCTAGTAATGGGGCTATTAGACCCCATTACTAGCAATCCCTTCCCCCCTATTGGTTCTATTAATAACCCTCATTTTATTTTTTATTAGACATCTCCCATGCACAGACGTTTTCTTGTTTTAATTTTATTATATTAATAAAGGCATTGGTTGAAGCAATTCATTAGCCCTATTTAAATATTATTATGTCTTACATTATGTACATAGATAGAGCATCGAGCCTCAAAAACGAGTCAACTTTTTGTCAGCTAATTGTTAAACTGACTCGTTTTTTTATCAGTGTTCTATATACTTAGGCATACAATGTATCTTGACGTATCTATATTTAATTATTTAATAAATAAAATGAGTTTTTACTCATTAAAAAAGATGCAAAAATTATAAGACAAAATAAATATACAAGTTATAAAGGAATCACACATAACTATTTATCACCCGAAATTGTATGAACAAATTGACTAGTTTTTCTCAAAGCATTTGTATGGAGACACTCTATCTATATAATTTAAGGGGTAAACATAATAATCAATCGAGTAGTCGACTCAGCGAAGCAATATTACAGCAATCAAATTAACTTACGCAAATCATTCGCCGCGGTCGCAACACAACACGTGTATGTCAAAATTAAAAATATACAATTCAAAAACATCTTGCGCACAGGTTTGAAATTAAAAAGTTAATATTGGCTAAAGAGTTCACAGCGCCTCGGCGGGAGGTCAGTACGCGGTCGTGGTTCGTGTGAAACTGAACCGCGCGAAATCTCTCCTCTGTTATTTATGTGTGGGATTGCGTTGGACCGGCTGTTGTAGCTTCAGACGAGCTGGTATTAGGGGTGGGTAATAATATAGTAATGCGATGGAAAGAAGTATCTTAAATCTAATAAGAATACAGAAAACAAGAACAGATATTAGGTAGAAAACCAAAATAACAAATGCTCTTTAGTATAGTATGAAACAGAAGTGAAGAAATGGGCAGGTTGTGACCGTTATATGTAGCGAGCTACAAAGATAAAAGGTCCACCTTCTCAAGGTTTGTCCATACAACAAAATGTCGAAGTCCAGCAGGAAAGAGAAGTGTTGGAAGGCAAAGACAGAGATGGGCTGATGACATAATAAAGACAGCAGGAAAAAACTGGACAAATATTGCTACAGATAAGGAGAAGTGGAAAAAGATGCAGGAGGCTTTTACCCTTGGGGACCACTGAAGTGGAGAAAAAGCTATTATAATAAAAATATAATAATAATAAACAAATAATAATAAACAAATAATAATCAACAAATAATAATAAACAAATAATAATAAACAAATAATAATAAACAAAACAATAGTGACAAAATTAGTGTAGGGTCAACTTGGAAAAAAACACTAATGTATTTAAAATTACTAAATGGACAGAAATGGGACTTATTATTATTATTTACCAGAGGAAGACTTTGTACAAAAGTCGCTTGGTTGGGCACTTCTGTCCGATTCGTGTTTCTACCGTGAAGCAGTTGTGTTTGCATGGCTGTGTTTCGGTATGAAGGGTGGGATATGGCGTGAATTTACAGGGTACAGAGGAATAACACCTGAGTCCTCAGGAATGGCAACGCATGGGGAGGTATCATGGGCGAAACACTACACTCTGTTATGTCCATGGTACTGCTCATGTTTATAGGCGACGGTTACTGCCTTCCATCAAGTGAACCGTCAGCTTGTTTGCCATTCTAAGTTGCATAAAAATTAAGAAAAAAATCTCTGCTATCCATGGTGCATATTTAAAAGCAACAATTACCACTTTCCATAAATAGGCCATCACTTTATTTGCCATTTCCTGTCACATAACAAATATTGTTGGGTATAAAACTAATTCTACTGAGGTTACGTTTATTAGTGTGACCTAAGCTTTACCAATAAATCCTTTAATAAAACCTTTAAGTGTACTGATGCACAAATTCAAACGATAAATTGCGTAAACGTGATAACTAGAGGGAATATTTTGGTTTAGCCTCGCTATGAATGGTCTATAAAAACGAATCGCTGAGGATACTTTGTAAGAATACATTAAACATACATTTATTTTATTTATTTATAAGAGATACACCAATATCATGTTCACAATAATTAAACACATTAAGTACAATGCTATAAATCAGCTTGAGGATAGACGACCATGTTAGTTAGAGGCGTGTACAGCTCTCAACAGTGTAAGTGTTAATTTATACTAAGGTAACAATCATACAATTAGTGAAGACTTAATTATTATATATACTATTATCTATACATATAATAAAACTGTAGAAGTCGAAAAAAAATACAGAATCTACCAGAGGGAGACTTACAAAAGTCGATTGCTTGAGTACCTCTGTCCCATTCGTGTTTCAACCGTGAAGCAGTTGTGTTTGTATGGCTGTGTTTCGGTTTGAAGGATGGGATATGGCGTGAATTTACAGGGTACAGAGGAATAACACCTGAGTCCTCAGGAATGGCAACGCATGGGTGGTATCATGGGCGAAACAGTACACTCTGTTATGTCCATGGCACTGCTCATGTCTAAAAGCGACGGTTACCACTTTCCATCAGGTGGGCTGTTAGCTTGTTTGCTTTTTTTTAATATATATAAAAAAAAATATAGACAAAAACATATTACGCCGACCCCAAATGTTTGAAAAAAGGGTAAGAAGATGATGATGTCGTAGAGGACATATTAAAAAATGAATAGGAGAGAGGAACATTTACAGAGGACTTCTGAGCAAACAAATACAGAGAATACAGCATGGGATTCTTCAAAAGAGGGGTAAAAAGGATTCTTCAGGGTCGGCAACGCGCGCGTAATACCTCTGCTAGGGGGGAAAGGGATTGTTAGTAATGGAGTTTGACAGCCCCATTGCTAGCAATAGGCCTTATTAGGTCGTCCTCCACGTGGATCCCCCTGGAAACCATTGTGAACAACTCTTGTTGAATTCGTCACGATGGGCTAACTGACCTGCTTCATCCTCACCTATCATCCTTCACTGGTGCCCCGCCGGTGTATACCGATAGCGCGGGTGGGGTTACCATTACATCTTTACCTATTAAAAAAAAATACCTCTGGTATTGCAGGCGTTCATAGGCTACGGTAACCGCTTACCATAGGTGAGCCGTATGCTTGTTAGCCACCACAGTGGTATAAAAAAATTAATTTGTATTACCTTATTGGAAATGTTACGATGACGTTAAAGTGCAAACGAGTAAAGAGCAGAGAATAATTGTATTGTCCGAAATCAGGTTTTGTATTTACGTACAAGGAAATGTTTTTCAACATTATTTATAAAGATGCATCATATTTCATCCTTATTTTCTGTATATGTAATACTTTATATGCCATTTTAATTTCTGAGCCAATATTTATTATTGTCTCTTTCGATAGGCTTTCCTTTGTTTTGGTCTCATATTAACTGGATCACGAATGCGGTCGCCGTTTTTTAGGAAGGAAATCTTAAAATTTCTCTCTCTCTTCGTCCACTTCATTACTGAAGGTCGTGTCCTTGAAAAGTGTCTGTTGCTTCTCTTATGATGTTACATTTTGCGCGTTCTTCAGCCTCTCGCAGGGCAGCTGCAATTGATAGTCTCGTAACGGCGGTTACTTGGTCCGACCATCGACTAGGTGATCGTCCGCGTGGTATTTTTTTCCTCTATCTTGCCTACAACCGTTGTGCAGATTGTCGGACTGTTAAATTTATCAACCAACTTCAAAAAGAAAAGAGGTTCTTATTTCGGACGTATTTTTTTTTGTTTGTAAACTCTTATCGATTTTGCAAATTACTTTTTGATCTTTCAGGTTTGTTTCATAGAAATTTTATAAAAATCGATTTAGTAGTTTAGTTTTCAAATAAAAATAACTGGTCACAATTGAAATCGGATTTTTTTGTAAAATACAATTTTAAATTATTTATGAAACGAAGTGTTAAATTTATTTTCGTACGTTACGTGATATTGTCGTATAAAGACTAGTATCTGAATGGTTCCACACAAAGTCAAAATTTAGTTTTTTATTTATAAAAATGTAATTATTTTAAAGCATATTTATTCATAGGTAATATACATTAAATAACAATAACATCTCCTTGGTCTACGTTTTCAAATCTATAAACACGATTCCTGTATTCTTTATAACCCTTCTGGTATCTCAACGCTAAAGAATTGGAAGGAGTGTTTGGATTAAAAATAGAATTACCATCACAACTCAACTTTACAACACCAAAATAGAAGAGATCGTCTTCTTTTTTCTTCTCTTTCTTTCTCTCTTTTATTATTAGATGATCTTTGATCGGTAGAAATAGTACTGTGTCTCGTGTAACATCTCCCACTTTCACTTTCGCTTGTATTGCGCCGTTTATTTTATTATCAACTTTATTCTTCACATCCATTGGTAGATGGCATTCGACGCATCTTATATTGTTTTGGTGGTCAGTGCTTATTGGTATAGGGAATAAACGATCATTTAAATAGAATCTGTATGTGCATTTGTGATCGGTTAGACTAGTAACGCTTACTTTACTTTCAATTCTAGATTTAGCTGAATGACACTCAAAATAGTTTTTATCTCTGAATTCTTTTAATTTCTTTATACTTGCTTCGTCGTTTACGTCCAAATATCCAAGTACTTCCGAGTTTGTATCGATGTTGAATATGTCTGAAACATCACTTGCTTCATCCTCTGTAATCACTGATCTAATAATTTCAGGTATTTCTTTAATCGTATCCAGTGATGTTCTTTTCATGGCGGTTTCAATTTCACCAACTGATTCAGACGATGGTTTGAAATTGTCATTTCTGTAACATTGTTTTAGTGATTTTGATCTTTTAATTCGATGATTTGATCTTTCATCGAATGATGGATTATTTAATTTTGGTTTCGATGTGTTTGGTTTAGGATGCGGATTGAATCTTGAGACAGAAGCATGTTCTAAATTATTATTAACGTTATGAGAATTAAAATCGAGTTTGTGTTCAGCATTGGCATCGCCACATCTCTTACAAATATCAAACGAGTCCCTTTCGCTTGACTTTTGATGAATACGCACATCAGATTTTGTTGTTTTCTTCGGTCTAATCACTGTGGACTTACTTTTATCATTTATGATACCGGTGGAACAACTTTTACCATTTTTGGAATGGTACGAATGAATTTTCTTAGAGATTACCAACTTTTTTGGTGTAACTCTTTTACCAAATGGTCTCTCTTTATTATCGAGTTGATCTATATTGGATCGTCTAGAAAATATATCGTAAATAGGCTTGTGAACAGATATATTATGTTTAGACATTTTGTTGTTATAAGTAAACGTTGCCATGGTAACAATGCGTGTACTCATACTTTGTTCCTTTATGCCTGTTTTGTGTATAAAAATAAAAAAAAATAATAAATTAACGATACTGTTATAGTTAAGCTATAAAATATTTATTTATTGAAGAATGATTACAAAAGAATTTATTTTATTAATATATGTAGGACAGATAATTCCGAATAGTAGTAAACAGCGCCATCTAGTGTTAAGTAGTCGAATATAAAAACGAGATACACGCCATTAAGTATAGATGTCATTATTAAAATTTATAACGATATTTTTTTACAAGTTTATCTATTTATTACTAGCGATCTACTCTGCTTGGCGCAGACTTTGTACAAAAGTCGATTGCTTGGGTACCTCTGTCCCATTCGTGTTTCAACCGTGAAGCAGTTGTGTTTGCATAGCTGTGTTTCGGTTTGAAGGGTGGGATATGGCGTGAATTTACTGGGTACAGAGGAATAACACCTGAGTCCTCAGGAATGGCAACGCATGGGGGGTATCATGGACGAAACAGTATACTCTGTTATGTCCATAGTAATGCTTGTGTCTATAGGCGACGGTTACCACTTTCCATCAGGTGGGCCGTCAGCTTGTTTGCCATTCTAAGTTCTATAAAAAAAAAAAAAAAAAAAGTTATTTTTCCTGTGTTACTCGCTGTTTAAGTAGCTCTCTATACGTGAAAGAATTGTTACAAACGGTTATGTATTTTTCTAGTTTATTTATTACAAACAAAAAAAAATACTCCAAATAAGATTAGATAAAATTCTTACTAGAAAAAAATTACGATAGATTTATGAGCAATCTATTATATGGTAAATCTTAATGTGAGATTTATAATTAATAGATTGTAATTTAATTATAATTGATTAATAAATGTATTTAATTTATTATGTATGGAAATCTAAGCTTCCGAAACTATCCGCTAGAGGCGCTGCTAAGCTTCCCATACAAACTTATGTAAAAAAATATACAGCAATTAGTTTAACAATTCGTTAACATTCTTTGTGTACAACTATTTTCATCCATTAAAAAAATAACATTTAGGAGTTGATTTAATTCTCTATGAACAAGTAAGTCTTCAAGATAATATTTTACAGGATAAATAATTTAAGATCTTGTTCTACACAAAAAAATAAAACACTGATATCATTGATTTCGTGGCGAAATTAATTATTTTGCATTAAAAAGTAAACCTCTTTATCGTTTCTTATTAAATTTCTTTATAAAATATGAAAACACATCTTTTCAGATAAAAAAAGGATTTTCCAAATCGGTTTATAAATGACAAAGTTTTGAGGTAACAAACATAAAAAACAAAAAACATTAAACTAGATTAAACTAAACAGTATACTCTGTTATGTACATGGCACTATATATATGGCACTATATATATGTGTCTATAGGCGACGGTTACCACTTTCCATCAGGTGGGACGTCAGCTTGTTTGCCATTCTAAGTTCTATAAAAAAAAAAACTAGATCTCCTTTTTTGAAGTTAGTTGGAAAGAAAACAATTAATGTATTATTAATTTATTTATTTATTCATTAGTACATATATGTATACACGGCAGACTTAATGCTAAAAGCATTCTCTCCCAGTCAACCATAGGCAAGTGTCAGAATACTCGAATGCGGTACTAGTAATTATTGATATACATACATACTAAAATTACATATATAAACGAATAAATATATATGAATAACAAATATACTTACACATATATGACATATACTATATTATACACGAAATTGAGAATAATATAAAGCATTTATGTAATGAGATGCTGCACAATATGCATCTGGATGTGTTAATAAATGAATAATTTATCGAATTAATGAATTATTTATTTGCGATAAATACATTAATTAAGTACACTAAGTAAGTATACATAATGTTACATAAAATTATATAATACTAGCGACCCGCCCCGGCTTCGCGCGGGTACACATTACATCACGTCACATTAGAAACCTCTAAAATTATCAGTGTTCCTCTACAATATTATGCATGTATTATACATATAAACCTTCCTCTTGAATCACTCTATCTACTAAATGAAACCGCTTCAAAATCAGTTGCGTAGTTTTAAAGATTTAAGCATAAATAGGGATGAACAGACAGCGACACTGACTTTGTTTTATACTATGTAGTGAAATATATAATAACTGTATTATACATATCTGTCACGCCTGTCTCCCATTAGGGTAGACAGAAACAATGGAACGCCAAATGCTTCGATTCAAACAAACCTCTTTCGCTTCCTCCACATTCATCAATATTTTCATACACGCTCGCCGGTTACGGGTACTTTTAATTTGGCCCTTCTTCAGCACGTCGCCTATTTGGTCATTACATGTAATACTATTTAATATATTATGTGTGTATGTGTGTGTATTGTATATGTAAATTAGTTTTAAAGATATTGTTACTAGTAAATATTTAATGGACCAAAAAAGTATGAATTAAAAATTATTATTATTCCATGAATTAAATCCAATAAATGTTACTAAATATAAAAAACGTCCCCATGTGGTCTCGGCACAGAATAGGCCACCCCTTCCTTTCCTGCGAGTGCCGTAAGAGGCGACTAAGGGAACTTAATAGTCGAGGGATCGACAGCAGCGTCCCTGTTAGAATAAGACGCCGGACATTGCTGTCCCGTTCTAACACGTGCATGTTGTTGAGTAAGAGAGCTAAAAATATGTAAATTTATGTTCCGTTTGTTTATATAAATCATCTATATAAAATACTTGCAAATTGCCGCGTAATCCCGGCATGGAATAGGCCACCCCTTCCTATCCCGTGAGTGTCGTAAGAGGCGACTGAAGGAGGGCGAGGGATGGGCAGCAGCAGCGTTGCTCTCAAAACATCGCCAAAGGCTATCTGCGGTTGCCAACCCGTCCGCCAAGCGTGGCGACTACTCGCAAAACTCCGTCTTTACAGGGGAGGCCTATGTTCACCAGTGATTACTGAAATGATGGCTGAAGGGGGGTTTCCTTTAGGATTTGGTTTGGTTTGGTTTTGGAAGAGATCTGTGTTTAGCAGTGGACAGTTAACGAACAATGTGATTTACCAGAGGGAGACTTTGTACAAAAGTCGATTGCTTGGGTACCTCTGTCCCATCGTGTTTCAACGGTGAAGCAGTTGTGTTTGCATGGCTGTGTTTCGGTTTGAAGGGTGGGATATGGCGTGAATTTACAGGGTACAGAGGAATAATACCTGAGTCCTCAGGAACGGCAACGCATGGGGGGTATCACGGGCGAAACAGTATACTCTGTTATGTCCATGGTACTGCTCACGTCTATAGGCGACGGTTACCACTTTCCATCAGGTGGACCGTCAGCTTGTTTGCCATTCTAAGTTGTATAAAAAAAAATTAATAAATGTGTAAGTTTGTAACCATGGACGGATAGATGGATATATGTTTATATTTCACTCAATAACTACTGAACGGATTTGAATAAAATTTGGTACACGGTTAGGTTATATCCCACCTTAGCATATAGGATTACTTCATGTACTAATTCACGTGGGCAAAGCCGTGTTACAGCTAGTATTTAATGAAGTTAGTTTTTGGAGCCGTCAAATAAATAAAGATGGCCTTGAACTCACAATAAATTATTATACAGTACCTTTTTTTAGGGTTCCGTACCTCTAAAGGAAAAGCGGAACCCTTTTAGGATCACTTCGTTGTCTGTTCGTTCGTCCGTCCGTCCGTGTATCAAGACCCTTTTTCTTAGGAACGCGTGGAGGTATCAAGTTGAAATTAATACCATATACTCAGTTCTGCAATCTCTTAAAGCAGTGAAAAAATCAAGCTTCTAAATCGACGCAATCAAAAGATACGGCCGTTTTTGTTCCATTTATATCGCATAATTATTTTGACATTGACAAAGGGAATTATATTCCTGTATACTTCCCGTTGACTTACAGTCATGAAATTTGGCAATAAGCAATGTAATATAACACAAGTAAAGTAAAAAAATTAGAAAACTGTTAATTTGTAGTTATTTCATAAAAAAAAAATTAAACTTGATGATTTTGTACGGAACGCTCGTTGCGCGAGTCCGACTCGCACTTGACCTGCTTTTTTTTTAATTTTAATGACATTAAAATGATCTAAATTATAAGAATATGAAACGAAAACAAAAAGGGCGATTGCAACTGAATAGTCAATGAGCGGGCAAGGTGTATGGCTAATTGATTATCTGCTCACGAATCGATGCGCCCGCGCAGAGGTCGCGTCCTAATAGGGTGACCATGGGCTCGCTCCTTCGCGGAGACAATGTTCTCTTTTGTAATATAATAATTATATATATTTGTTATTGCACTTGTAAATTACATTGTTAATGCATTTATAAATGTTGTGAGCAAGCGTGGACTTATCTCTGACAGAGATCTCTTCCAGTCAACCCGATGCAGTTAGAAAGCATGTCGTTAGCGGGTAACTGACGTGCTACAAATATTCATATTTAGAAATATAAAGTTAAATTAATTATTTAAAATAATGTATAATAAAATATTATATTAAGGCAATAATAAATATAATATATAAACGAACACCTTTTGTTTATAAATATAAAAGTTAAATAGTGTACGATAAATACAAAGTATAGAAGCATAACATCTGAGAGGAGTTAGAAGTCCTGATGTCCTCTACATTTAAATATTCTTAGTGATGCTATAGGCGTCAAAAAATATATATATATATATATATATATATATATATATATATATATATATATATATATATATATATATATATATATATATATATATATATATATATATATATATATATATATATATATATATATATATATATATTTATACAACTTAGAATGGCAAACAAGCTAATGGCCCACCTGATGGAAAGTGGTAACCGTCGCCTATAGACATGAGTAGTACCGTGGACATAACAGAGTATACTTCTTCGCATATGATACCCTCATGCGTTGCCATTCCTGAGGACTCAGGTGTTGTTCCTCTGTATCCTGTAAATATATTTATTTTTATCATTAAATTCCTTTAAAACAAATCTCAATATAAACTATAATGAAATGATAACAATGCGATGACAAAAAAAAAAACAGAAATTTTGTCTATCTATCTGTATGTTTGTTCGAGTGTCTAGCGAAAATTACTGCATCAAATTGGACGTGGTTTTCACAGTTGTGTTCCTAAAGATCTAATGTAAAATTTGTTATTTTTTTATTACAAAGTTACAAACACAAGATACACTGGGCCCCACACTAGGCGAGCCTGTATCGTGGGCACCCGACAAACATTAATAAATCACAAATGTGTTAATGTTGTATGTTTTATTTTGATATTCCATATATAAATGGTTACCTACTTTAAAACACCATGCGTACGTATAACTGATCTTACCCTTGTCACCGTATGGTGTCAGCGGAATTACATTTGAGGTGACAGAGCGAACACAGCTCTAGATATCTGTGTAAGGGAATGGTAAACAGAAATAATGTGGATATAAAACCTTAAACTAAGAGGCTTCGTCAGCATTGTAATAAGCCAATATTCTTCTGTAGTATGGAGAGCTAGCTAGCTTCTTTCAATAAGTACAATAGAAGCCAATATGTATTAAAAAAAAAATATTTTCTTGTTTGGTATCACACAAAGTCAACTTCATTAAAACAGCGGTTGCAAATCGGTTTCTGCAGGGGGGAAACGGATTGTTAGTAAAGGGGTCTAATGAATCCATTGCTAGCGATATACCCTATCAGGTCGACCTCCACGTGGTTCCCCCTGGAAACCGTCGTGAACAATTCTTGTTGAATTCGTCACGATGGGCTAACTGACCTGCTTCATCCTCACCTATCATCCTTCACTGGTGCCCCGCCGGTGTATACCGATAGCGCGGGTGGAGTTACCATTCCATTATAACCCATTTAAAAAAAACAGTTTTTTGCAGTTGTGTTCTTGAATGTTGAACACAAAATCTAGTGTACATTTTATCATGATCCGACATTTAAAAGTAGTATGTTTCGCAGGTTTTTTTTTTCTTTACGTAACAAAACAATGTAACTGGTATACAGGATATTTTTAATAACATAGGAGGCTGACGAGCGTGCGACTCATCTGACAGTAAGTGATTACCGCCGCCCATAAGCAGCCGTATCATTAGAGTAATTGCAGGTGTGTTGCTGGCCTTTTATTTATTTATTTATTTATAAAAGACACACCAACAATATGCTCACAACAATTAAGCAGACTATATACAATGTTGTAAGTAAGTAAAAAGTGAAATTTTACTATTAAAAAATGCTTAAATCTAAGTTTTCCTGAACAAAAACATCTCACTCCTCCCTACCAAGCTTGAGGCCATATGAACACATCAATTAAAGGTGTATACAGCTCTCACAGACAAGCGTCAATGTGTACTAAGTAACAATTATACAATTAGAGAAGACCTAATTACCGATCCATATTATTAATAAGCCTAGTAAACTGCACTAAAGAATGACCAAAGATGTCGATATCATGGTCAACGTTTACGGCTTTATTATAGGATGATAACATTCTGTTGATGGGAGAATTGGATTCTAAGTTAGTACGACAAGCGTATGTTAAAAATGTGTTAACTATTTTAGCAGATCTAATATTGAAATTACGTTGTACTATCAAGAAGGAATATTTATTTATTTATTACATTACATCTACTGGGTTAACTTTACAGTCTTCCAACACGCTCGCCCAGGAAATCATCAGTACAATGACATATATAAAAAAGGAATAGAATATAATACATATAAATAAATTTAATTTCACAATTTCTGCACACACAAACACCTCGTGGTCATTCGACGGGACTCCAGCAAGTTGGAGGCAAATACATCTAATTGCGGATACCGATTCAAAATATATATTGAGTAGTTTCAATGCAAGAGAGAGAGGAGCTTGCTTGGCCAGCTCTGTTCTTCGCAATGGAACATCGAATAATTGACGTCTACGTGCTCGCACGTAGTTACTGGGCGCTCCTATTGATGTTCTTTTCTTAAATGGATTTCTTCAGTAAATACGTATTTCTGAAGATTGATAAAAATGGACGCATAATTTTTTCAAAAATAGAAAGAAAAAAGACGGAATTATGTATATTAATGTTTCGACATTCGATGGTTGAAAATTCACTCCCAGCAGAAAATAAATGTTACTACCTATTCTCAAGAATGGCTGCTACATCATCGTGTCTATGTATGCTTCCTTAAAATAACTATAAATTTATTAAAAATTTAACAACGCTCACACACATATAAACCTATAAGGCTTTGAAACGTCTGAACTGATATTCATAATTTCTAGCTAAGAACTATTTCGATTACGTCAATTTTTAAACAAAACAAAAACCGCATCATATTCGGATTAACCGTTTGTTTAGGAGCTACAATGCCATAAACAGACACACCGCCACGCAGACACACAGACACACAGACACATGAAACTTGTGACATACCTCTTTTTGTGTATTTAGTATTTTTATCAGTACATACAGTAATTGTTTATATTTATAATAAGTTTACTACTGTAATCTTTTGGAGGAAACAATAAAGAGTATCTACCTATCTATCTACATAGTATTTTTAATCTTTGCTTAGATTAGAGCTAATTACGTACCTGGTCATTCCTAAAAGCTAAAATGCCTTCGTAGCCAATAAGTTTACTGCCATATCCTAGCAGTTAAATTAACACAAAGCTACGGAAACACAGCTGCGTTGCAGCTACAAGATTAAAGGGTCAGATATACCCAAGCAGATTAAAAATTAGTTGTATTTTTTTTAAAGTTATTTTATATTGTTATTGTTTTTATGTGAGTGTATTTTATTTTTATAGGTGATAATGAAATAGTAACCTCGCCCGCGCTATCGGTATACACCGGCGGGGCACCAGTGAAGGATGATAGGTGAAGAGGAAGCAGGTCAGTTAGCCCATCGTGACGAATTCAACGAGAATTGTTCACGATGGTTTCCAGGGGGAACCACGTGGAGGTTGACCTGATATTGGGCATATTGCTAGCAATGGGGCTGTCAAACGCCATTGCTAACAATCCCTTCCCCCCTATGTGAGTGTATAAATAAATATGAAAGCGAGTTTGTTTACCTCTTAGCGTTTTAACGGCTCAACCAATTATTAGAAAATTTGGAAGTCACATATGCAGTATTTGTGTTGGAGATTGGCATAGACTTATTATTTGTAATCATTTAAAACATGCTGACGAAATAAAAAAAAAAAATAACTATTCCCAAATAAATATTTCTGAGAAAAAAAAATGTTAAAAAATATTGTGTCCAAAAATAAATGTCGAAAAAGCGGACACCCTGCGCGACATGGAACCAGCGAGCGTACACCGTGACACTCGTCGCTCGATGTGCGCGCGCGCAGCCCGCCTCTACAGGTTCTGGAGACTGCGGCGCAGTAAGAAGATCGGCTTCCTGAGAAGGCTCTTCCGCTAAAATGAGGAGTGTGCTGTTCATTGCTGCTGTTGTCCTGGTAAGACGATAATTTACTAACTAGTTATTTCCTACGGCTTTGCACGCGTAAATCGGTATATAAAATAGCCTATGTGTTAAGTTAGGATATAACCTGATCACATGTAAAGTATCATTAAAAGCTGTTTACCCGTTTAAGAGTTATTGAGAAACAAACATACAAAATTTTTTTTTCACGCTAACTGTATGCTAGGAGCCGGTGCCTTCCCAAGTTACAATTTAGATAGATAGATAGATACTCTTTATTGTTTCCTCCAAAAGATTACAATAGTAAACTTATTATAAATATAAACAAATACAAGAAATAATCACAATGAGAAAACAATGGGCGACCTTATCGCTAAGAGCGATCTCTTCCAAGCAACCTTTGGATGGAGAGGAGTAGTTATAAACAGTTTTATCAGAGGCACGATGGAAATTTTGGTATTTTAAATGAATGCAGTGGACAGTTAACAGTTGTTAAACGTATTCCAGAGGGGACCGTGTGGAGGTAGACCAAATTCCTAGTAAATTAATTACTACGTCCCAACTGATTTCATTCGGGGGGAAAAGGGATTGTTAGTAATGAGGTCTAATAGCCGCATTGTTAGCAATGTACCCTGTCAGGTCGACCTCCACGCGGTTCCCCCTGCAAACCATCGTGGTTAACTCTTGTCGAATTCCTCATGGTGGGCCAACTGGCCTGCATTCATTCTCACCTATCATCTTCCACTGGTGGCTCGTTGGTTTATACCGATAGCGCAGGCGGGGTTACCATTCCATTTTCACCAATTAAAATACTTCATCTTCATTTATCATCCTTCACCAGTATCATTCCATTTTTATACAGCAGTTAAATATTGTTCTAATGGGGGGAAACGGATTGTTAGTAATGGAGATTGAGAATCCCATTGCTAGCAATACACCCAACCAGGTCGACCTCCTCGCGGTTCCCCCTGGAAACTATCATTAATTAATTCCTGATGAATTCATCACGATGTGCTAACTGGCCTGTGTTCATTCTCATCGATCACCCTTCACTGGTGCTCCGCCAGCGTAACCCGTTAGCGCAGGCGGGGTTGCCATACCATTTTCACCCATAAAAAAAAAAATTCAAATATTAGTTGAACTATTGTTTTCTGTTTCAATCACTGATTATGTTGGTCAATGAGATTGGTTAAAAAAATACCTGCACATTGACATAGAGTATAATAATAAAGTCGTTAGCTTCTCTATGGTATGTTTTTAACAGATGATAAATAGACAGATAGATAGATAATGTCGTGAGCATTACTTCAATTTATTATAACAATGTAAAGCCTTAATCTTTTATATAATTATTTATATGAAATATATTTATTAATTTAATATACACTATGTATAGTTATTTATATATGTATGTATTGTATGTGATTTATGTATGTATATATATTTTTTGTATGTATATTATTCTATATGTTTGTATGTTTATTTATTTATTTAATTCTCTATTGTACACGTTATTTATAAAAATATGACAGAGGTAAGCAAATGTAGAAAGGCGAGCTTAACTCTGATAGAGTTATCTTCCAGCAACACCCAAAGTGGAAAGGAGCGTCGATGTCAGCGGGTAGAGCTGTATATATATCATAATTTGTTATCTTTCAAAATATTTATTTAATTTAATACAATTTCTTTTAAATCTATTCACCGCTATTTTCTCTCTCTCTCTGTTTAGCGTAACGGTTGACTAGTAGAGAATCAAATAAATTTTAAATGAATTTAATATCGGCAAACGTTGTTTTACCATATACATTATTTCGAGAACTATACATGAAAATATATCGTACTACAATTACTATATTGGATTGTCATCTTGCAACCCTATTGCGGAATATAAAAATCGCGATTAAAAAACAGGGGTTGATCGTAAAAGCGTGAAAATTTTAATTTGTATGTATTTTTCAATGCTAAATCATATTAATATAAAAATAAAAAAAATTGACAAAAAAATGAATTAATTAGGGGTCACCTTTATTATTGAGGGGTACGAAAAATAGATTTTGGCCGATTCTCAGACCTACTTAAAGTGCATACAAAATTTCATAAAAATTTGGTAAAACCGTTTCGGAGGAGTTTGGTAACAAACACCGCGACACGAGAATTTTATTGTAATGTTTATTTATCACTTCTTGTCACTTTAAAGGTTTAACCAGTCGTTACAAAATTTAGTATACGCGAAGAAGGACATAAGCCACGTTCTATAACGGCCAATAAACATATTTCGGTCACGCGGACGAAGATGGTAAAATTATTTATATATTTATTTATCACTTTATTGCACCAACATTACAGGATTTGTTGAACAGTTTTCGATAAGTATAGTGTAGTACAAAAGGCGGATTTATTGCTAAGCAATCTCTTCCAGACAACGTTTGGGTAGAAAGAATTAAAGCATAAGTAGGGAGGTGGCGTTAAAAAGTACATCTGTAAAAATAATATTATATATAATATATATATATATATATATATATATATATATATATATATATATATATATATATATATATATATATATATATATATATATATATATATATATATATATATATAAATGTATTAAATAAATAAATATAAATATTTTGAAAGATAACAAATTATGATAAATACATAAATCTGGTAGGAAATAAGGAGGACAAAGTGATTATTAGGATAGGTAGTGGGATTTAACTACATTTTTAAAAATAGACAAAGACTGAGCGCACCGTATAGAGGTAGTATACGTACTAGTGGTCGGCCAGTGGTCGAAATTCGACCATAACATATATTGTAACCTTAGACTATATAGATAGAGCATCGACACTCAAAAACGGGTCAACTTTTTGTCAACTAATTGTTAAACTGACTCGTTGTTTTTATCAGTGTTCTATATACTTACGCACACAATGTATCTTGACGTATCTATATTTAATTATTTAATAAATAAACTGAGTTTTTACGCATTAAAAATATGCAACAATTATAAAACGAAATAAATATACAAGTTACAAAGAAATTAGCTGACTCTTTTTTTATCAGTATTCTATACACTTACGCATAAAATGTATTATTTAATAAATAAAATGAATGTTTACGCATTAAAAACATACAAAAGTCATAAAACAAAATAAATATAGAAGTTATAAAGGAATCACTCATAACTATTTATCACGCAAAATTGTATGAAAAATTTGGCCTATTTTTCTCGAAGCATTTGTATGGGGACACTCTATTCGTGTCTGTATAATCTAGAGCTATTTATTATTTTCAAATATTCTATTTATCCGTACGTAGCCGGGTTGGGTCGCTAGTTTAACTATAAACATAGTGATGTCATGTGGGAAAAGTATAAAATGTAAAAATTTATTTTAACACAAATATATGTAAGCCGATTGAGGTTAGCGAACTTTGACCTTTTAGATTTTAATATATTATAATTTTTACAGTTATGAATTATTAAGTATCTTACCTTATAAATTACATATATTATTCAAATATCTTCTGGTTCCCTTGTGAGACAAGTTATGGATATATTTTTTAACCTACTCCGAACAAGAATCTCAATACAGCTTAGTTTTTAATCAATAATTCATATTATTGTTACACGATTAATGCTGTTAAATATATATAAGGAATAGGGAAGTTATGGAATAGTTTTTTTTTTAATAAATATTACGTTTATTTATGACAAAGGGAAAATGTTTTGACTTTTGTATATTTATTTGTTTAATAGACAGTACACAACGCCATCTAGTTGAGAGAGAGAGAACTTGAGTTATATCATACGCAAAGTAAAAAGTGTACGAATGTCGAAATTTGTATATTTTCTCTATATTAAATAAATATTTCCTTCTTTCTTGCTTTCCTTTTTCTCTCTTCCTTTCTTTCTATTGGTGAAAACCAACAAAGGGCTTCATTTTTGTAACCTTATTGTTATTTTTTATGTAAACAAGCCTTGATTTTCCTGTTATAAATAAATAAATAGATACCATGGTTTTGATGGCCCATTGATATCACAACTGTCATATATTGTCCCCCATATAAAGGATCTGAACTTACGCAATGGCCATTGTTGTTTTATTGTTATAACAATATTACATTTTGGAATGCATGGACACTCCACTATTAATTTACAATTAGCAATTACGAATCGCAAACAAGCTGACGGCCCACCTGATGGAAACTGGTAATCGTATCCTGTAGACATGAGCAGTACCGTGTACAATATATACTTTTTTTTTTAATGGATGATAATGGAATGGTAATTCTGCCTTTTTTTTTTAACGTCTGGAAAATGCTTTATGCAGACCCATACACCTTGTGGGGGGTGAATGGGTACTGTGGGAATCCCCCCGTAAGGTGGGAGTGTACCCACCAAAAACCAGACGATATACCCTCGAGGTGCCATGGTAATTTCAAGAAAAGAGCATATTCCTTTTTAAAAGGCCGGCAGCACACCTGCAATGCCTTTAGTGTCGTGAGTGTGTGACCATGGGCGGCGGTACCTTACCATTACCATGGTCACTTACCATCAGGTGAGCCGCATGCTCGATTGGCCCGAGTGTTGTAAAAAAAAATCCGCCTGCGCTAACGGTATACGCTAACGGGGCACCAGTGAGAGGTGTTAAGTGAATACGCCTGGAATTTAGCACGATATTTTCCAGGAGGGCCACGTGATGGTCGACCTGACAGGGTATATTGATAGCAACGGGACTGGTAATAGTAGTTGTCCGCATTACTAACAATTCCTTCCTCCCAGTATAATATACTGTGTCGTGTGTCGGGCCAATTATTCATTTTCTATTACATTTTAATGTAGTAACGACGTATTTTGCTACTAATTGCCCCATTACTATTAATACACCCTTTCAGGTTGACCTCTACGCGGTTCCCCCTGGAAATTATCGTGGTTTATTCTTTTTTTTTATACAACTTAGAATGGCAAACGAGCTGACGGCCCACCTGATGGAAAGTGGTAACCGTCGCCTATAGACATGAGCAGTACCATGGACATAACAGAGTATACTGTTTCGCCCATGATACCCCCCATGCGTTGCCATTCCTGAGGACTCAGGTGTTATTCCTCTGTACCCAGTAAATTCACGCCATATCCCACCCTTGTCCCTGGACAGAAGTACCCAAGCAATCGACTTTTGTACAAAGTCTTTCTCTATTCTAATGGATTCTATTCTGATTGGAATTCGTCACGATGGGCTAACTGATCTGCCTTTTCATCCTCACCTATCATCCCTCACTGGTGTCCCGCCAGTGTATACCGTTAGCGCGGGCGGGGTTACCATTCCATTATCATCTAAAAATTACAAAACTACTAACCGAATAGTATCCAAAAATATTAACAAAAAAATCTATTATTTGTAATGTATACGAAATATTTTAGTCGAGAAAGCTCGACTAGTTTCGGAACCATTTGGGACTCTTAGTCATAAGCGGCCGTGACGTAAGCGCGAGCCAACTGCGCGTCTCGCATTACATTAAAATATAATGTATACTTACGAAACTTTTAACAATAAAATTAACCGTTTGTTTATATTTTCATTAAGATCTGTTGAAACAGGCTGCACAATACTTCTTTGTGTCTATCACAAACAATGTCACAGGATAGCATCACGCACGTCTTGATCCTTGGCGCCAATGTCGAGCGATGTATACGCCGCGCACGTATCTTGGTACTTGCCCAGTCATCGGCAATGACATGGATCTTGCTCTCTAATGATTACTTTCGGAATATTGAGGATGGACAATTGAATTCGAATGGCTGATGGTGGAAGGATAATGGGTTTTAAAAAAATATTTTATGATTCTTTTTTTGCTTCAAAAAATAAATACGAGTAATAATACAACAAAATTGGTTTTAGTATGTAACTAATGTGGAGTAAATAATTTCGATTAAAAAATAATAATCGTAATCGGTTAAGAAACAGCGAACATGTTACGTATCAAACATACATACAATACAAATGCATCGAATAGCACTTTATTTTGTAAATATCTTGAAAATTCCTGCTCGGAGGCAAAGAGATTGTTAGTAATGGGACTAGAGGCCCCATTGTTAACAATATATCTTATCAGGTCGACTTCCGTGGTTCCTCCTGGAAACCATCTTGATTGTTTTTCTGTGAATTCATCACTATGAGCCAACTGCTTTCATCGTCACCTATCATCCCTCACTGGTGCCTCGCCAGCGCAGCGCAGGCGTAAATGTAGTGTATACAAAATATTAATATTTATACATAGCAACCAACAGAAATTTCAGAATCATACGAATCGGATTAGCTAATAAATTTAAAAATAAATTTCCAAAAAATAGTCATATTAAATAAACACAATTAAACCAGCCGTTAACTCTTCACTGTTGAACATATACCTTCTCCATAAGGAAGAGATTTCCCAGTAGTTGTCACGCTTGGCAGGTGGATTGGCAACCGCAGTTTGTCTTTGGTGATGTTTTGTGACGACCAACCTTATGAACAATCAATTTTATGAAGTTACTTTTATTTGTGTTTCCGACAATTGTTTCGACTACATCCGAATTCTTCTTCCAGGGGCGGATATAGTATTTATTACTATCAATGAAACCGTTAGACACCATTATCATCAACTCCTCTATCTCACCACATTCTATTACGTATCATAAGCATATTTCTCGTTTTCAACTTAATAAAAAAAAAAAAAGAAAGTTTGGATAATGTCAGTGCAAGTGAAGGACAGGTCAGTAAATCAGAAGATTTTTTTTACAACACAGGGGGTTATCGAGCCTGCGGGTCACCTGGTGGTAAGTGACTACCGCCGCCCATGATCACCCACAACATTAAAGGCGTTGCAGGTGTGCTGCCGGCCTTTTAAAAAGGAATATGCTCTTTTCTTGAAGGCTATGTTGTCGTATCGGTTCGACAATACTGCTGCTGGAAGTTGATTCCAAAGACTGATTGTGCGTGGAAGAAAGTGCCTTGAAAAACGCACGGTGGTCATTAAGTACTGAGAAATACTGATATTCTGCTTCTAATATTACAGGTGTTCCGCCCCTGCTGCAGCAGGTCGGTGGACTCCGAAGAGTCAGTGGTGAGCGTGTACACCACCCAACCAACCACAGTCAGCACTACCAAGCCCTTTGACGTCTACCATCAGATTGCCAACAACATCGCTGAGAGAATCACTTCCCCTATTTACAGGTTTGTAGTGAAATTGCCATGTGGTCCCAGCATAGAATAGACTTTCCCGCGGGTGTCGTGAATGGTGACTAAAGGAACTTTGAAGGATGGGCAGCAGCGTCCCTCTTAAAACATTACCAAAACCTAAATGCAGTTGCTGACCCGATTGTCAAGCGTGGCAACTATTGACGAAGTTCGTTTCTATTAGGGAAGCCCATGTTCACCGGTGAACAGTTAACGGCCAATATGATGATAATGACGATGATTATGATACCATGAGTCCTAATTGCTCGCAATGTACCTTATCAGGTCCTCCTGAAAACTGTGATGCTCAGTTCTTGGCGAATTAATCACGATAAGTAAACTGACCTGGCTTTTCCTCATCTATTATCATCAACTGCTACTATGTCAATGGATACAAATGATGCAGGCCAGGTTACCTTTCCATATTCATCTTTCAAAAAGTATAATCTGACTCTTGTTTTGCGCTCTATCCAAAATCTTAAGAGCAACTGTGATTATTATAGTAGAAGTTATTATTTCGTCAAATTATATAATACAAAATCAGTATTTTTTATACTACTATGGTAGCAAACAAGCTTACGGTTCATCTGATGGTAAACCATGCTACCATAACCTGTGGACGCCTGTAATACCAGAAGTATCGCGCGCGCGTTGTCAACCCTAAAATTTATAACGAGTACTTTAATTGTGATCCCCAAGAATAAAATTCCAAACTGATTTTTTCAGATTCCTGGGCATAAATCATACGAAATCAGATAACGTGACAACAAAAAAACCCTGGGACAAGATCGAGCTTCTGGACGAATCGACAGAAGATGTCACCAAGAGCGTACTGTCTGCTGTCGACAACGATATCTCAGGGGACAGAGACGTGGAGGAGCTTTCAGTCGAAGCTTTGAAGAAAGCAGAGAAGAAACCGGAGAAGATTGTGTTATACTCTAGTTATTTACCAGCGAAGCAAATTTTAGAGCGAAATGACACGGTCAATGAAATCGATGATGACGGCGACGATGAGCTCGATGATTTCGATGATACCGACGAGAAACCCAGACAGAATAATTTCATTTTTATTTTAGAGCTTTTAGGTAGCATCGTGCAGTTAGTTTGGGGCGGACTGGTTGCTTTCTTTAAACCATCAAATAATAATGCGAGTTAGTATTCCTTTTAGATGATACAGGGCCGTAGCTAGACCCAAGTTTAAGGTAGGGCAAAAGAACTTTTTGCTAGGACAGAGGCCATAATTAAGTGACTTCGAAGAAGCGAATCTGTCTAATTTTCTTAGGGCCTTTATTTTAAGGCAGGTCACTGCCCCTCAATGCCTTACCCTAGCTACGGTCACGGTGATATTTAATATATAATATAATGTAGTCTTCTAGGAATTGCTTACTTTTACTATAATATTTTATTAGTGTATAAATGTGAAATTTATAATATATATAGAAAACTTGGATACTTAATATTCGCACGCCATTTGATGTGGCGAAACATAATGAACATATTGTGACATCGACAAATGTAATATTTTATCAACAATATTTCTGGCTGATCAATTTCATTCCATTTCATTTCAACAATGATATTGCCTTGTAATTTTAATCCATTGAGTTCCAGACATCATACATACATACATATCTGTCACGCCTGTCTCCCATTAGGGTAGGCAGAAACAATGGAACGCCAAATGCTTCGATTCAAACAAACCTCTTTCGCTTCCTCCACATTCATCAATCTTTTCATACACGCTCGCCGGTTACGGGGTACTTTTAATTTGGCCCTTCTTCAGCACGTCGCCTATTTGGTCGACATATGTCCGTCTAGGGCGGCCCCTACCGACATCTCCATTCATTCTTGCTCGATAAATCCAGATATCAATTTTTAATTTAATAAAGATTTACTTATTATTTATTATTTATTAACTATTTATAATTTAATAAAGATACATGTAAATAACACAAGAAAAATAGAACGACGTCTCTAACAAGCAGAGTTTTAGAAATTACAAAAAAAAAATATTCGGAAACAAACTGAGATATGGCTCAGTGTAATGAAAGCAATCCCTAATTGCGATAATAATGAATAAATGTTTATTTTTTATAGAAATACAATATTTATTATTTCTGCGTTAGGACGATTTATCTGTACTTGGTATTATAACAAAAATACTGTTTACAGTCTAGTTTGTGTAAGAATGAATACATTTTTGTACCTACATAAGGTAAATTTATTTCATTTATGGTTATATAAATATAATAAAATTGTAACTAATCGACGTTTGTAAATTAAATAATAGTATAAATCGAATATGTTAATTAGGCTAATTCTTTAAGACAACCCTTTAAAAGCAAGAGTTAGAAGCAAAAACAATGACTTACAGAATTGTTTTATTTTTTAATTAACTATTTATGTTAATTTTTATTACCCACTTATTTAATTTCTAAATGTTTATTTTGTTTACTTTTGTTTATTTATTGTTGTTTTATTTAATTACGTATAATTTTGAAAAATGTTTCAGGTATCTGATGAATGTTTTTAGTTTATACGTTTTTTTTTACATGAGTCGAAAAATTATAAAAGATTAGAGCTTTTTATAGTAAACTATGCCCTGTGGCAATGAAAGAGCTCAACCATTGATTTTCGACTGGTATCTTTTTAGAAAAAAAACATTTAATTTGACGTATAAACCTAAACTGATGATAATAAATATCGATTCCGACTGTTTTGTACATAAAAAGTTGTACCTACATAATATATAATGCATATATGTGTGCCATAGTAAATAAAAAATATAACAGGAGTGAAAAATAAATTATTTTTAATTCTTCCTTAAACATTCATGATAGCGCCATCTAGATTTATATAAAGAACTTTTGTGATAACAATTATCATCCTTCACCAGTAGCCACTAGCGTTTATCGTTAGCGCAGGCGAGGTTGCTATTTTTTTTTTGATGGGTGAAAATGGAATGGTAACCTCGCCTGCCCTAACGGGATACGCTGGCGGAGTACCAGTGAAGGGTGATAGATGAGAATGAAAACAGGCCAGTTAGCCCATCATGATGAATTCATCAGGAATTATCCATGATAGTTTCCAGGGGGACCGCGAGGAGGTCGACCTGGTTAGGTATATTGCTAGCAATGGGATTCTCAATCTCCATCACTAACAATCCCTTTCCCCCCCAAGGTTGCTATTAGACTATCGACCATTTAGTATAAATTTTGTAAATTAACAATAATTATAAAATGAATATGGCCACCAAAACAAAAAGAAATTTATATAGGACTAATTTATGCTTGCGACTTTGTACGTGTGGCCAGGATAATAAGTAGTCTATATTGATTTTTCATTCCAAATATTGAATATATTCCAAATTTTATGACGATTATTGAGCTATTAAAGCGTTAAGAAATAAAAAATAATAACACCATTAAGGACTAGCTGTATCCCGCGGCTTCACTCATGTGAATCAGTACAAAAAGTATACTATATATAATATAACCTATCTGTGTACCAAATTTCGTTTAAATTCGTTCTGTAGTTTTTACGTGAAAGAGCGACAAACATCTATTCAGCTATCCAAACTTTTGCATCATTATTAACAGGAATAATTAATAGGATATTTAAAGGCTTAATGATAAATAAAAGTGCAACATCAAACGTCAGTTTTAACTTTATGTAAGACTACATAATAGGTGTTTTATCCTTAGATTATATAGATAGAGTGTCTCCATACAAATGCTTCGAGAAAAGCGGCTCAACTTTTTCATACAATTTTGCGTGACAAATAGTAATGAGTGATTCCTTTATAACTTCTATATTTATTTTGTCTTATAAATTCTGCATCTTTTTAACGCGTAAACACTAATTTTATTTAATAAATAATACGTCAAGATACATTTTATGCGTAAATATATAGAATACTGTTAAAAAAAAACGAGTCAGCTAATTTGACAATTAGCTGACAAAAACTTGACCCGTTTTTGAGGCTCGTAACCTCTATCTATATTAGAATCTAAGATGATATCGTAACGAGAAAAATGGTAAGAGTTTGAGGTTAGCATTTTTATTTTACTTACAAAGTACCAGTAGAATACCAGCGCTGAGGATACTTCGCAGTTTAATGCTGTTTTGGTCGCCATTTTATCGTTACGGTTCGTAAAGCCACCTACGTATCTATGTTTTATTTATAAGTTAAAAGATTAGGACTGATTCTGACGACGCCATTCTTTTAACTTTTATATTTTAATTTCATAGTTTTTTTTTTTAAATATTGACATGGCAAACAAGCATGCGGTCCACCTAATGGTAAGCGTTTACTATAGCCTATGAATGCCTGCAATGACAGGGAGATTACCCGCGCGTTGTCGACTTTGAAGAAACCTAAACCCTTTCTTGAAGAACACACGTTGTTGGCTCTCTTGGAAAAACCTCAATAGTAGGCTTTAGTTCAGTTTTGCGAAATTACTCTTTTATGGATCAATACAAACTAAAATTATAGGGGGGGGGGGGTATTTTTTAAGTGGAAAAACATCTAACAGGTAATAGAACGATGTCCCAACGTAAATAGAGCGACAAATAAGCTCTCTCTGTGCTGTAATGCACGGACGGACAATCGGACCGTTTCTGTCTATATTATGTTTATTCTCAATTATTTTCAGCCAACATCAAAAGGACGAGGATTCCCATTATTTATGAACCTATTTAGAAAATTATTCAGTCTCGTAGAAATTTTAACGAAAACAGTTTAGTAATCAAAATAACTGGTTTTGACACAATTGAATTCGGCTGTTTTTGTGAAACACAATTATTGCTTATCGGGATAAAACTGTCCTATCTCTCGTTATCATCATATCTCTCTATCCTACACTTTTTTTATGCAATTTAGAATAGCGAACAAACTGATGTCTCATCTGATGGTAAGTGGTAACTGTCGCCTATAGACATGAGCAGTATCAGAGCATATGAGTATTATGGACATAACAGAGTTTACTGTTTCGCCCAAGATACTCGTAATTTTTTTTTATTTTTTTTTATACAACTTAGAATGGCAAACAAACTGACGGTCCACCTGATGGAAAGAGCTAACCGTCGCTTATAAACATGAAAAGTACTATAGATATATCAGATTTTACTATGTCGCCCAAGATACTCCTTATGCGTTGCCATTCCTGAGGACTAAGCTATTATGCCTTTATATCCTGTAATTTCACTGCCAAATCCCACTTTTCAAACTGAAAGACAGGCAAACTGAAACAAATGTGAACACAACTGCTTCACGGCAAAAACACGAAACTGCTTCATTGTTTCTGCTAGGAAACAGCTGTGTATGGAGGACTGTAGGTCGGTTTGAAAGTTGAAATTTAACAATAAATTTATACAGGGTACGGAGGCATAAAAAACATGACCCTCAGAAATGTATCAAGGGCGTCATAGTATATATACAGTAATGCCCACGGTACTGTTCTTGTTAACCATGGTTACTTTCCACCAAGTTATTTGCCATTCTAAGTTGCATAAAAACTGTTTTTTACTTTTTGTGCATGGAATCCGATATTTTTTTAATGCTCGATAATGGAATGGTAACCCCTGCACTATCGATATACACTGGCAGGGCATCAGTGAGGGATGATAGGTGAAAATGAAGCAGGTCAGTTAGCTCACTGTGACGATTCTAACAAGAAATCAATCACTATGGTTTCCAGGGGAAACCACGAGGAGGTCGACCTGATAGAGTATATTGCTAGCAATGGAGCTATTAATCTTCATTAGTAACAATCCGTTCTCCCCCTGGAATCCGATATTTAGGTGATATAACTAAATTTATGTGCAAAAATTTATTCTATTAAGTAAAACAACTTTAGGTTTTTAAAAAAAATATTTTTTTTAATTTATAAAAATAAAATACTTTAATATATGGCATCTTAACAAATAAAATTAATCAATTCATTGAAAAATGTAACCAACTCTCAACGGGTTGAATTATATATCTATAAAAGATGCTGTATTTTTATATATTCAAACTATACACCACAATATAGGTAATAAATTATTGTACAAATATCTTAAAAATTAAATACAAAAAAAAAATCAATACAAAATCTTTGTTAATTTACGAATAACCTATCTAGTTCTAGACAATATTTTCCACTGATATTATTAAAATATTTATTCCCTATTTTTCGCATTTAAATCACCCAAAAGATGCACCTCAAAATGTACAATGTTGATGGACGTAAATATTTCAACTTTTGTAAACAATTGTCACATGGATTTGTGAATATATGTAGAATGTGTGTGTAAGAAATAAAAAGAAATAATACCAACAACATCTGTGTTTATACAGAGCGAAAACGAAGTGTTCTCCCAGAAAAACTGAACATGGATCGAAAAATGATAAAAAATTTGGCATCTCCCATACATAGCCTTGTAATCCCGGCATAGGACAGGCCACTCCTTTCTTTCTCATGGATGTTATAACTAAAGGAATTTAATGGTCGAGAGACGTACAGCAGCGTTCCTCTTAAAACGTGACCAAAGTCTAATTACGTTTGTCAACTCTGTGTAAAGCGTGGCAAATATTTGCAAACCCTTGCAAGGGAGAGATTTGTGTTCATCAGTGGACAGTCAACGGCCGATATATGATACTAGCACGGCGCATTCTGTTGTTATTTAGTATGGGAGACTAAAGTTTTGGCAATTTTGAATTATCTGATTCATGAAATTTCTAAATCCTAATTTGAAATCACTGTTCAAAAGTGGGCAGTTAATACAATTATTAACTCAATAGATTGAGAGAGAGCACCTTATATTCAGCTGTTATATAGTATGGGAGGAGTATGTTTTGGCGTTTTTGATTATCTAATTTACGAAATTTCTAAGTCTTCACTTATTATATAGTATAGGAAGTAGCTTAGCTTTACGTACCGCCAGAGTAAAGAATGTTATTGACACAAATGCCAAATGAATCTATCGATGTGTGTCGTATGCGAGAAACAAAACGAAACAGTTAAATTGTTGTCTCGTTCTTTCTCATGCTTAGTATATCGAGAACGGATCTATCAGCAGGTTTAAGGAGCAGAATCGTACAGTATTTATGGTAATCTATGGGAAAGATGTATGTTCAGCTACTAGTCAGTCAACTTCTCTACTTTATTCAATACAAATAGACGAGTGGCTGCAAATATCTCAGTTCAGATGACAATTTGGATTCGTCTTTAGCAAGTTCGGTGACCATCTCCTTGGCTCTGTTGTTGGCGTACTCGTGTGCACAGTCCTTACGGTCGACCATTTTGGAGAGGGCCATGCTGAGCTGCGCGCGCGCACCGCCGCTTGATGACGCCACTAATGATTGCATTACTGACGGCGAGAAACCCTGGAATATGAATTATTTTTTATGCAGCATTAACTGGAAAGCAATATTGTTGGTTACCGTGGTAAATGGTAACCGTCGTCCTATAGGCGCGAACTTTTGAAATCCACATCCAATTTGGTGCAGTAATTTATACATAGAACAAACACACAGACAGAAAAATTTCTAAAATAATTTGACATATTTTGGTTTATTAAGACCTTACTATCAATTTTCCTTAAATATTTTCCATGTAAAGACTTCGTCGTAAGATCATCCACGTTTTAAATCTATGTAAACATCTCCAAAGCCTAACTGCGATTGCCAACCCGCCTGCTAAGCGTGGTAACTTCTGGCAGAACCCATCATAGTTATATATGTATAGCTTTGTTTAGCAGTGGACAGTAAAGGGTGATATTAAATTATAAATCTATCTATCTATCATTTCTTCTCAGTGTTTCAAGATATATTTATTAATAGTTTAGTATAATAATTAAAGTAAGATCATCATGTCGAAGACAAAAGCTCCAAAAAAATTAAATTCTGTAATATCAGAATCACTTACAACAAAATCAGACAACTTCTGTCTCTTCGCTTCTCGACTTAGCAGGTCATACAGCAATAGCAACCTTAAGTTAGACGAAGATAGTTTCCCACCTGAACCCTTCGGGGGTCCAGCCTTCAGTTCAGACAACTCTATTAACCTCTCGTCATCAGGATCATTGGCCATTTTAATGATCTCCCTAACATTCTCTGATAAATACTGCAAGTTTTCATCATCCTCGCTTTGAGATTTCACCTCAGCTTCAAAGTGCGGTGGCAGCAGTGGTGCTGATGCAGGATTAGGCTCCATTAGAGGTTTGATTTCCTCATTGTGGATCGATAGAAGAGGTTCCTCTGTTCTCTTCTCTTCTGGTTCTATGACTGTGTATTCGGAGTTATACTCTAGAGGGAGAAGGACGAAGCGATGTTGGCTTTTAGGGAATACTCTTTCAGATGGTTTTGGAGGGGCTGATGGAGCGAAGAGACCCGGTTTGTGCAATGGCGTGGTCAGTGCTGATCTGTAACATAATTATAGAAATTTTATTATTATTTCTTGTTACTTCACAAACATGTTTGGTTCACATGATTTGTTCAATTAAACCTTCCACATCTAAATAGATATGGAAGGGAGGAAATCTAATATTTTTTAAATCTACACTAAAGAAAAAACATTTGTATTTTTGTGTGTATGTATGTTTATAATAAATAAACTCAAAAACTACTTTGCCAATTTCAAAAATTCTTTCACCATTAGAAAACTACATTCACCCTGAACAACATAGGCTATATGTATTACTAGAAAAAATTAGGGATCCTTACTAAAACTTTAGTAACGTAACTCAAGATGTAAAAAATGCTATAAAATATCTTTCGCTGTATTTTAAGTAGCTGCCACGCTTAGCAGGCGAGTAGGCAACCGCAGTTAGGCTTTGGAGATGTTTTAAGAAGGACGCTGCTGCCCATCCCTCGCCCTCCGTTAGCCGCTTACGATATCCACGGGAAAGGAAGGGGTGGTGGAATTTCTAAAGAATATTCAAATATGTACATGTTTGACTGGAAGAGATCGCCTTATGGGATAAGTCCGCCATTATATATTTTAATCTTTTGATGTGTTCCTTATAAATTCTGTACAATAAAGATTTTACAATACAATACAATTGTATTTTTATTCATCCGATAAAACTGTTTATAATTACTCCTCTCCATCCAAAGATTGCCTGGAAGAGATCGCTTTTAGTGATAAGGCCGCCCATTGTTTTCTCAATGTTATCATTTCTGGTAATTGTTTGTAACTATATGTATATGTATTATTGTATACAGATATGTATGTATTTTGATTTTAATTGTATGAGTTACTTATATATGTCAACATATTTAATATTTTTTAATAGAAACATCTATAATGTTTCCTTCTATTATTGTACGCACACTGCCCGCTAGTAATTAATGCTCCTATCCACTCAGGGTTTGCTGGAAGAGAACTCTCACAGAGTTAAGCTCGCCTGTTGTACATCTTATATATATATATACATATTATATATTATATGTTGTAATTTTTTGTGTACAATAAAGAATAAAATAAAAAAAAAAAGAAATATAATATAGGAAACATATTATTATTCATATTATTGTAACCTTTTGGAAGAAACAATAAAGAGTATCTATTAGTCGGATCTATTTTTTCTAATCGATCTAAAAGCCGTCCAAAATAAACAAAATTTCATTAAAATCGGCTGAACGGTTCCGAGATTAGAGTGTGTATGGACGTCGTGACACGGGATTTTTATATACCAAGATTAATTTACAGTAGCTGACATTGTCCATGCTTTCATCTTAGACTATATAGATAGAGCATCGAGTCTCAAAAACGGAACAACTTTTTCGTCAGCTAATTGTCAAATTAGTTGACTCGTTTTTTTTTTATCACTATTCTATATTTTTTTTTATACGACTTAAAAGTGGCAAACAAGCTGACGGCCCACCTGATGGAAAGTGGTAACCGTCGCCTATAGACATGAGCAGTACCATGGACATAAAAGAGTATACTGTTTCGCCCATGATACCTCCCATGCGTTGCCATTCCTGAGGACTCAGGTGTTATTCCTCTGTACCCAGTAAATTCACGCCATATCCCACCCTTCAAACCGAAACACAGCCATGCAAACACAACTGCTTCACGGTAAAAACACGAATGGGACAGAGGTACTCAAGCAATCGACTTTTGTACAAAGTCTCCCTCTGGTAAATATTTTTACACACATAATGTATTTAATTATTTAATAAATAAAATGAGTTTTTACCCATCAAATAGATGCAAAAATTATAAAACAAAATAAATATAGAAGTTATAAAGGAATCACTCGTAACTATTTATCACGCAAAATTGTATGAAAAAGTTTACCCGCTTTTCTCGAAGCATTTGTATGGAGACACTCTATCCATATAATCTTAGGCTTTCGTGTTTTGCTGACGTCATTGTTTACAGACAAACAAACAATGACATGTCAAAAATAGTCATCAATATTGAGTTTTATATATAATATGACTAGCGGCCCGTTCCGGCTTCGCACGGCTATGACATTATTACAACATTTTACATATGAAGTTAATTAATTAAAATAAAAGTTATTTCGAATTAATAGTTAAGTGAGAACTTTTAATACACGTGTGCTTAATATAAATATGCTTGTTGTGTTTAATTGAAAGTTAATAAGCAAAATATATTTAAAGCGATAATTGCAGCAAACAGAAAAGAAATGAAAGAAAAGTTTAAACTTTTATTAATATGAAACTATTATTATTATAAGTGTGAAAGTGGGTTTGTTGGTTTGTTAATTTATTGTCTTTTAGCGCCTTAACGGTTTAACCACTATGAATATATATAACTATATATATATATATATATATATATATATATATATATATATATATATATATATATATATATATATATATATATATATATATATATATATATATCATATGCCAGTAGTTGCCACGCTTTTGGCAAGCGGGTTGGGAACCGCAGTTAAGTTTTAGAGATGTTTTATAAGGGACGCTGCTGCCCATCCCTCGTCCTCCCTTAGTCGACTCTTACGACACCCACGGGAAAGGAAGGGGTAGCCTATTATATGCCGGGACTACACGGCCAATATGCGGTGTATATGTATATATATATATATATATATATATATATATATATATATATATATATATATATATATATATATATATATATATATATACGAAGCCGTAATTAAAAGCTAGTAAATATCTAATCTTCTTAAATTAACTTAATTCGATTTTGTTTCTCAAAATAATTTAAAAGATTATACGATAAATAGAAATTGCTTTTTACTTTAGTATAAATAATATAAGAGTTATTTTAGTTTGGAAGTATTTAAAATTTAAAGAATTTCGAAATGAATTATCCCAGTTTTGTATATTAATTAGGTACAAAGTGTTCGTAATAAGACTAATTAATTCCTTTTGATTTATCCAAAACGTAATATTGTACTAATTCGTGCGAGCAAAGCCGTGGGTTACAACAAGTGGTATTAAAGGAATAAGAGAGCTAAAATAGTTAATTGATATTACCACAGTGTAAAAATTTCTTTTTTAACGCTCAAAACAATTCCTGCCCTAAATGTAAATGTTTTTATTTGAGACAGACCAAAAATTTTGGACCACTGGTTCTCTACACTGTGATATTATTATAAAAGTAGAATAGAAGTAGAAAGAATAGAAGATAGACCATCACCTATCCAAGCCAATACCATAGCGCATAAACCATCCGTTTGCGTAAGTCTGGAAGCCAGGGTTCATTCCTGGGACGTACACTGGTCGACTGGTCGGTTTGAAAGTGGGCGTGGCTGGCTTCGCGGGCTTCGTGCTGGGCTCGTCCTTCACTTCGAACGCCATTTGGTCGGTCAGATGAGCTATGACCTGCATGGCTACCGGCAGATATGAGTCCGATAGCTTGAGATCTTGCTTTTTTGTTTCAACCTGAAAATTATTAATTTTTTTTATGCAACTTAGAATGGCAAACAAATTGACAGCCCACTTGATGGAAAGTGGTAAGCGTCGCCTATAGATATGAGCAGTACCATGGACATAATAATATGTATACTCTTTCGCCCATGATGCCCCATACGTTGCCATTTTTGAGGACTCAGGTGTTATTCTTCTGTACCCTGTAAATTCACTGTCATATCCCATCCTTCAAACTGCAACACAGCTATGCAAACACAACTGCGTATTCTACCGCTTGTACAACGGATTGTGCTCAGAGGAATTGTTCAAGATGATGCCCACAGCCACTTTCTATCATCGTAGGGCTCGTCATCGACAGGGAGTTCATCCTCATGTCCTACAGCCTCAATAGTCGCGTACAGCGCGGTTTCAGAGATGTTTCCTTCCACGAATACTCAGGTTGTGGAATGAGCTCCCTGCCGAGGTATTCCCAAGAGACTACAGCATGGGGTTCTTCAAAAGGGGGGTAAAGAGGTTTCTTCAGGGTCGGCAACGCGCGCGTAATACCTTTGGTATTGCAGGTGTTCATAGTGTTACGGTAACCGCTTACCATCAGATGGGCCGTATGCTTGTTTGCCACCTCAGTGGTATAAAAAAATCTACTTCACGGTTGTAACACGAATGGGACAGAGGTACCGTATTAAAGCAAAACAAGAGGTAAAGTATTATAAACCATTGGAAAAAAATGTAAAAACGATTTGGATTCTGTTTTTATAAATCGTCTTTTAATGAATTTATTTGATTATTGACCTCTTTATTTACTGCACTTGTTGGTTTTGTTTGTAGTGACCTTAATGATTTTGTCGATTACCCCATTTGGGGTACTACAAAATAAACAGAGAGATAGATAGATACTCTTTATTGTTTCCTACAAAAGATTACAATAGTAAACTTATTATAAATATAAACAATTACAAGAAATAATCACAATGAGAAAACAATGGGCGACCTTATGCTAAGAGCGATCTCTTCCAGGTAACCTTTGGATGGAGAGGAGTAATTATAAACAGTTTGATCGGAGGCACGATGACGATCCTATTATTAGTAAATATGGAGATTTACATGTAATAATGTAAATATATATCCCTACTCACTATTATATACATATATATACATATACATATACATACACATACACACACATAATAAATAAGTAACATGTAGAATTTATTAATTTATTTACTTATTTATTTATTTATTGTTCAATGCCAAAGTGTACTATTAAAATTTTCGGTAACGCTTTGTTTCTCCAACTCGAAACGGAAAATCTAATGATCCATCTGTTGTAAAGTGGTAACAGTCACCTATGGACAAGAAAAGCACTAGGGACAAAACGAAGTACACTGTTTCGCCCATGATACCTCCCATGCATAATACCCTGCTAGCGAACACCGATATACAACTACTTCGCAAAAATATAAAACAATAAAATATTAAAGCGTTCCCTTGTGTTTGCGATTAGGCAGTCCCACCACGTACCTGTCATCGTCACACTTTACTTCAATTACGACATGGGACAGACAGATGAATAATTTATTAGTTTTATATTTGTTACATGGCCCCTAAGAAATTTTAGTACAGAGCAAAATTTCACTTTCATACAACAAAACAATGGTAGCGATTTTCTATTTCTTATTTGAATACGGTAACGGTGTGTGTTTTAAAAGATATACCTATACGAGACTGTGTAGTAAGTCGTCTGATTGTGTACCACTGTCCCATTCGCATTTCTGTCAGAAGGAGTTGAATTTGCATGGTATATTGCAGAGTGTAACATTTTAACTTTGTCCTCTCGAATGTCAACACATGAAAGATGTAACGGGCGACACAGTGTATACTGTGATGCCTATAACATAGTCAAGTGATGGACTTAATTATAATTAATTAATAAAATTTATTTAATAATACTTACCACAGTAAATTTGACCACTTGTAAAAATAGCGCAGTAAATAGGATGTATGTACGAAACATTGTTGATTTCTGTAAAATGTAATTATTTATTTAACTCTTTATTGCACCATAAAAAATATATATACAATGACAATTGAACAATTCAAGTGAAATATAGTAACATAAATACAGATTGAAATATTCACATAAAGGTACAAACGGCGGTGTTATCACTGGGGCAATCTCTTACAGACAAGCTTTATTATTATTTATATTTTGTTTATATTTATATATTTATTGAGTTTTACACCAGATCTGATATATATATATAAGTCTTTAACTGTCCACTGCTGAACATAATCCTCCCCCTTAGGGGGTTTTTTCAGTAGTTGTCACGCTTAGCAGGCGGATTAGTAACCGAAGTTAGGCTTTACAGATGTTTTAAGAGAGACGCTGCTGCTCATTCTTCGCCCTTTTTTGTCGCTTACGACACCCACGGGTAAGGAAGGGATGGCCTATTCTATGCCGGGACCACACCGCAACCAACCAAGAATATTATTTACTTTTTATTCGGACCAGTAAACATATCGTGATTTTCCCAAGAGACTACAGCATGGGGTTCTTCAATAGGGAGGTAAGGAGGTTGCTTCAGGGTCGGCAACGCGCGCTTAATACCTCTAGTATTGCAGGCGTTCATAGGCTACGGTAACCACTTACCATCAGGTGGGCCGTATGCTTGATTGCCACCTCAATGGCATTTTTTTTAATACAACTTAGAACGGCAAACAAGCTGACGACCCACCTAATGGAAAGTGGTAACCGTTGCCTATAGACATGAGCAGTACCATGGACATAACAGAGTATACTGTTTCGTCCATGATACCCCTCATGCGTTGCCATTCCTGAGGACTCAGGTGTTATTATAAAGAAAATATAGCGGTCATACGGACAAAGTTGCCGGTAAAAGCTAGTAATATATGATTTAAAGCGAGTTTCCAGACTAAGTCGGTGAAAGCGTCAATAAACTCTTGCAAGTCGAGCCTGTAAGGTATTTGGAGCGCGGTATAGTACCTTAGCGATTGTTTCATTGTCTAAACAGAGGTACAGCCTTCACTCGACCCAGTAAACTGGTAGTAATAGAAACTGCCCTTTGCATTGGAAATAAGATTTACACACTATATATATATATATATATATATATATATATAGTAAAGTTCGCTCACATGTGAGTGAGTGAGTTAGTAAGTACTTTATTTGTATAACCAAGACAACTAATAAATGTAACGATACAGTTGTATAAGTACGGTAAGGCGGTCTTAAAGATTGTCAAAATAATGCTCACATTTCCAAGCATGTTTGAGAAAAAATAATAAACAACGAGTCAAAGTTGGGGAAGATATCATGTAAAAAGAATAATCGAATTGACAAACACTTACTTGTTTAGGTATTGTTAAAACTAACATAAAGTCGCGGGTAAAAACTAGTAAAGAGTATTAGTTTTTAGACACTAGGCAATGTAATAATCAAGCCAAAACTGCATAAACAACCTTTCAATTAATATAACAGCTATTGACTTATTTAATGAGCCTTTTTATGTATAGGTATTATTTTAAATCACATACACATTCTCATCACCACATTTGAGAAGTCAACGAACTCATGTGACGTAAATTTACCACAGCACATAAAAAACTTAGGACAACTTATTTTTATTACTCCGGTATATTGGTTAAAGAGTTATTTTTCTGGAATTACAAATGGAACTGTTTTTTTTAGTTATTTTTGAAAATTATTGTAAAAATAATAAATTAATTTGATTAAAATGATTATAATTTTGTTCATTTATTACAATTACAGTATCACTAATTGATATTCTTGATCGTACATTAAAATATATTTTAAAATACGTAATAAAAAAAAATGTATGAGACCAATACGAGAATAAATATTGAAGATTAAAGAGGCGATACATTTAAAATTTGTATGTAATTAGAAAATTTATAAAAATGTAGTGATATTAAATAATACCTCTTTGTTTAAATCGGTTGAGAATATAAGATATCTAATTTTTTTTTACAATAAAATCATTAACTAAATTTAATAATTATATTCATTATATATAAGTATTTTGTATATAAGTATAACAATGTTAATAATATTTATTAATTAAAATGTAAAATAAATTAATTAAAAAGAAAGAAAAAAATATTAACCAACGACTCTATTCGGAACAAATGCATTAAAAAATATATTAATTAATGATTAAATTCTAACAAAACATATACAAAGAAAAAAAAAATAACATACCTGTTTGACGGAAGACAGAATAAATACAAACTCAATGCACACGGTTGCGCGGCTGCGCGTGCGCCGCCATACTGCCCCAGCATCCTTTGAGGATAGTGACCCGGCCGTGGAACTCTAAAGAGATACCAGATCGATTTTGGAACCTGTTTACTAGTGCCTACATCGAGTATTGACGTGTTTTTATGTTCTAATTATCAAATAAACACAAAAATTAAAAAAAAAATAGGGGATTTTCGTTTCGTCAAAAGATGTTTTTTTGCGCAAACGCATCGCCAATTCTGAACTGATTTTCACAATTTTTGTTTTGTTTTAGACCCGTACTGGTCCTGTTTTAGTTTCCAATCAACTTTAAAGAAAGGAGAAGGTTAAATTCGGTGGTATTTTTTTATGTTTGTCACGTCATAACTCCGTCAGTTATAAGGCGATTTGGAAAATTCTTTTTATATCTGAAAGGATACACTTACAGAATTATCTCATAGAAGTTTTATCCATATCGGTTTAGTAGTTTAGTTTTTAAATCAAAGTAACTGGTAAAGCTAGAATTGAAGTAGGTTTTTTTTTATAAAATACAACTTAATTATTTTGGGGGGAAAAAGGATTGTTTGCAATGGAGTTTGACAGCCCCATTGCTAGCAATAATTATGCCCTATTAGATCGATCTTCTCGTGGTTCGCCCTGGAAACCATCGTGAACAATTCTTTGTAGACAATCATAATTATTTGACTAAACCAACCTTTGTAATAAGTGATTATAGTCCATACACACATAGATACTATGGTGATTACGTCACAAAACAGGACTGGCTGGATTTACCGCGTTTCATAAACTTCCTTTATAACAATATAATATTATCATTTGTGTGATATTAAAAAAAGAACAATAAGATTTGTGGTACAACGAATGCGAACGTAAATAATAAGATTTAATTCTGACAGAATTAATATTAAACTAATTATATAGGGATAAATATACAAAAATCATTGCATTAACTTGAATATTACAATCACCCAATAACTATAACAATAACAATAAATTGTAATAAATATATTTTGTATAATAAATATATTTACGGTTACCACTTTCCATCAGGTGGGCCGTCAGCTTGTTTGCCATTCTAAGTTGTATAAAACAAAAAAACAATTATTTCTGCTCAAAAATTTTGACACGAGATAAATTATTTACGCAACCGGAGTCGAGTTCATCGTAAACTCGCAGACGATCCTTGATATGTAATACTTATATGTAACACCTATTCGATTTTGCCAACGAAACTATTCGCTCACTTGAGAAATATCAGAACAAGTTGTTACGTGCTAAGTTTAAAACTAAATTTCCTATGTCGAGAATGTACTCAGTGTATTGCACGAAAAGTTTACACGTATCCGAGTGTTCGTGCTATGAAATGTTCTTTCCTATTGGCGAAGCTTATGAAATATTTATATTTTATATGATTTTATATGACTTAAAAACGACTACAGTTTGAAAGGTGTAACGGCAGTGAATTTACAGGGTACAGAGGAATGACACTTGAGTCCTCAGGAATGGCAACGCATGGGGGGTATCATGGGCGAAACAGTATACTCTGTTATGTCAATGGTACTACTCATGTCTATAGGCGACGGTTACCACTTTCTATCAGGTGGGTCGTCAACTTGTTTACCATTCTAAGTAGCATAAAAAAACCTAGCATTTTTGCTTAGAATGACTGGTAAAGAACATAAATACATATTTGCATTTCCTTTGTTTCTTATTAGTTCACATAGAAAAACCTATACGCGAATTCCACGGTGAGAACTATCTAGAATAGATACAATAACATATTAACATTCAGCTGGTGTTCCGTCGAAAGCTGTCGGGATAATTGTGAACCTGATTGGCGATTGTTTCGGCGTCCGCCTCTAATTTGTTGTGGACGATTTGATGAATTGTAATGTGAACTAAATTCAGTTCAGTGTCGGACGTGCTACACAGACCCGCGCCGCTACCATGAGTCTTGAGTATACACAATTTACTACTGCAGATTATTAGCAAGTATCTACAGTAGTTGTAGTATTCACACACGCACACGCACGCACGCACACACACACACACACACACACACACACACACACACACACACACACACACACACACACAAACACGCGCGCGCGCGCGCGCACGCACGCACGCACGTACGCACACACGAAGCACACACGTACACGCACACGCACGCACACGCACGCACAGACGCCATGAATATCCCTACGAAACGCCGGGGAATATGAAGATCACCAGCTACATGGTGGTCCAATATCGACAAGGAGATGAAAGCACACCTAGCTCCTATGACTAAACAGGGCAGAGCGTTTCGACGCCACTGTATAAAAAGATACGACCCAAAATAGTGGGATTAAATGTTGGAGGAAGAAGTAGAAGAGGAAGATTAATTATCACGTAAACCAAAACTGATAGTTGCACAATTATTGAATATTACAACTAGTGTAATAACTTGATAGTAATCTACTGTACTCAATTGTCTGAACAAACTCTTAGTAGCGGGTTAATAAATTCGTGCGTAAACATTCGAGAAATTACTCAGAATGTACGCGTTCATTTGGAACGGGTCTGGAGACAATTGTGTCGGTTAATCCCATATTTATTGCGTCCTGTATAGAGGTAAATACTGCTGTAAGATCTAGGCATAGAATGGGTCACTACTTCCTTTCTAGTGGGTGTCGTAAGGTTTTTTTTTTAATGGATGATAATGGAATGGTAATCACGCCTGTGCTAATGGTTTACGCTGGCGGGGCACCAGTGAGGGATCATCCCTCAGATGAGAATGAAAAATGCAGGTCAGTTAGCCCATCGTGTTGAATACACTTGGAATTCAGCACAATAGTTACCAGGGGGGACCACGGGGAGGTCGACCTGGTTGGGTATATTGCTAGGAATGGAGGCCTTACACTCTATTACTAACAATCCCTTCCCCTCCGGTGTTGTAAGGTTAAGGGAACTTAATGATCGAGAATTGGGCATCAAAGTCGCTCTTAACCTAAATGCGGTTGCTAACCATTCTTATGAAGGAGGCCATAGTTAGCTGAATAATGATACAGATGCAGATTCTATGCCGTTTGGTCCCGCCATAGAATAAGCCACCCGTTCCTTTCGCGTGGGTGTCGTAAGAATCGACTAAGGGAGGGCGAGGGATGGGCAGCAGCGTCCCTCTTAAAATATCTCCAAAACCTAACTGCGGTTGCCAATCTACCTGCCAAGCATGGAAACTACTGGCAACCCCCCAAGGACGAGGCTTACATTCAGCAGTGGACAGTTATAGGCTGATAATGATAAAGAGTCAGTCCTTACTAATATTATAAATGTGAAAATGAGTATGTTTGCTTAACCAATCACATGAAATTTGGTATATACGTGTTAAAATGTAAATTGGACTCTATTTTCCGCGCTTAGTCTTTCATTTGGCTTGTATGTATGAGTCGTGGCTAGTATAGCCAATCTAGGTCCGCCCAGAAACACAGAAGCTTCCTAGCATCTTCACAAGCCTCACGGAGCGACCTCACTGTTCCGAGGATTTCTGAACGTTGAGGGGCTACAGCTTCACATTCCAGGATCACGTGAGCAGCTGTTTCGTTGGCGTCAAAACAGCCTCGACATAGAGGGCTGCTTGTAGCTCCTATTGTGTATAAATGTTTGTTTAATGGGCAATGGCCCGTATACACGTATTATCTGGGATAGAAAACGACACAGGAATTTTGTATCAGTCAATAAACATCCACTGATCACGTGAAAATCATTAGTTTTTTTTATACAACTTAGAATGGCAAACAAGCTGACGGCCCACCTGATGGAAAGTGGTAACCGTCGCCTATAGACATGAGCAGTACCGTAGACATAACAGAGTATACTGTTTCGCCCATGATACCCCGCATGCGTTGCCATTCCTGAGGACTCAAGTGTTATTTCTCTGTACTCAGTAAATTCACGCCATATCCCACTCTTCAAACCGAAACACAGCCATGCAAATACAACTGCTTCACGGTTGAAATACGAATAGGACAGAGGTACCAAAGCAATCGACTTTTGTACAAAGTCTCGGATCATTAACATCACTATATCAACAGTTACTTGACCTTTACTGAACATAGGCCTCCTCCATAAGGGAGGTTTTACCAGTACTTGCCACACATGGAAGGCGGATTAGCATTCGCAGTTTGGCTTCAGTGATGTTTTAGGAGCAACGCTACTGTCCACCCCTCGATTTTTAAGTTCCCTTAGTCGCCTCCTAATATAATACTTATGGTAAAGGAAGGAATAACCCATTCTATGGCACAAGGAAGTAGTGGATAAAAGCCAATATAAGTGTATATTTTAGCAGAACATTGTCTTTTTGATTGAATAAGCAATCTAAACATTTAAAGTGGGTAAACGGAGCCATTTAACTGGTTTTTGTTTAATGATAATTAAGGTTAACGAGTTTTTACAAATCGCTTAACTGGGCGCTCTTAAAGGTAGGGGTACTGGGGGGAAAGGGATTGTTAGTAATGGAGTTTGACAGCCCCATTGTTAGCAATATGCCTTATTAGGTCAACCTCCACGTGGTTCCCCCTGGAAACCATCGTGAACAATTCTTGTTGAATTCGACACGATGGCCTAACTGACCTACTTCATCCTCACTTATCATCCTTCACTGGTGCCCCGCCGGTGTATACCGATAGCGCGGGTGGGGTTACCATTCCATTATCATCCATTAAAAAAAAAGGTAGGGGTACTAATACGGTATTAACTTAGAAGTATTATATTATCTATGGTATAGGTAAGTTAATAAATAACAAGCAAATTATGTTTTTAAAAAAAAAAAACTTTACATACATATTCGTTACGCCTGTCTCCATTAGAGTAGGCAAAAATATTGGAACGCCAAATGCTTCGATTCAAACAATCCTCTTTCGCTTCTTTCACATTCATCAATCTTTTCATACACGCTCACCGGTTACGGGCACTTTTAATTTGGCCCTTCTTCAGCACGTCACAAAACCAAAATAAGTTCAAATACTGCAATGGACGGTCTGCAAATACATTTTG